TAACTTACATGGGTTCTGTTTTTGACAGTGAAGGGACAAAAGGTTAATACTAGTCCTAGCTAGTAATTGTACTCTCATGTGCTTGGATTCATTGAGAAAGCAGGAGATAAAGAAAGGCTTTTGAAGTGGAGTTTGAGTGATACCTGGAATGGGTATAGATTCTTACTATCACTTAATCTTGTTTAGATCTGTTTCTCGTCTTGTGTGTTATATACGTATAATCTAATCTTTTGTGTATTTAGCAATCACAAATGTGGTAACAATCTCTACGATCCTGAAGCACAATGGACTAGCAACATAGAAGAGTAAGTAAAATTTCCTTTCTTATCATCAACGTTTATTTTTTGTAAATCATAATTCAGTAATCTGTTTTCCCTTTGTTCCATGTTTGCCAACAGAGGTGTTAACGTTGTTGACTGTGGGAATGAAAGACAAGAACAAAGGAAGCATGGTCCAGAAGGCTAAGGCAAGTTTCTTTTAATATTTTTTTTAAGGCTGGTGAATAAGCTACAACAGAAGCTGTTTAGGTCATTGGATTGTCTTTGAAGTCTGATGCTAAAAAGACCATCATGAATCTCAGGTTCCCTCTTTTTCTCACGGTTTTCTAGCCATTATCTTGTAGAAGTAATTGAGAAAGTCACTTGCTTTTACTCATACAAAGACATCCAACTTCAAAAAGAGAACTGAACTGCAGAGGATATAGAGAAGGCAGTGAAATGAGAATTGCTTGGAATGAGACATCATCCTAAGTCCTTGGAGGGAGGGAAAGAGCAAACCAATGGAGTTCTTTGTTTAGTCCATCTGAATTGCAGTACTTATGACGTTGTTTATGACCTTTGTTTTTATAACAAATGGTGTTAAATGCTGAACTATTTTGTAAAATTACAATTATGTATTTTTTGATGATCTATGAAAAGAAATGTGCTTTCAACAAATTGGTTTTGTAGCATATAATTATTTGGATTTTAAATTTATAGATTTAAAATAATTTTGCAATTCATCATTTTATAATGTAGCACATAAAATTTGCTACACAAAAATATAATATAGCAAAAATTATGAGTTATAAAAAATTATATTAAAGCATTCGATTAGTGCTATACTAGAAGGACTTATAATAGCACGACAAAAAATGCTTTTGTATGGGTGATACCTACTATAGCTGCCGAGAACATAGCGTTTGTGAATTCGCTATCTATAACGTAAGATAGCATATTTTTAGCGCTATCAATGAACAAATTTCTTGTAGTGTGTTATGGTTCATATACGATTTATCATATGATCATCTCTTTTTTATTTTTGTGTCTCATTGTAAGTTGGTAACATTGGCATGCAAAAATTTTCAAGTAATAGATCTTTAAGATGTTAGACATACCCAAGAATTCAAAACACGAATATTTATTTTATATGACTATATGCAATGGTAGAAGATCTAAAAGTGCCGACTTAAATAACTTTTTAATTTTTGATTTCTTTTTATTCTTTTCATATGAAAACTCTTGAGATCTTGTTCAAATAATGTCAATCCAGTATCTAATAATGAGCCTATCATAATGTGGCCGGAGTACTAGATCAGGAGAGTGCATAGAGCACTGAATTTTTTTTATTTATAATTAAGTTAGACAAGTTTCAAACCATACAAATAACATAATTATATATCACTGTATCAAAATATCCTATATTGTTGTTGTGTGTAGTCATGATAATGAAAAAATATTAGGATCTTATATATATAAACAATCAGAGTTATACATGAAAAATATATAAATTGATATTTCAAATCAAAAAATAAATGTAACCATAAAAATTATAACTACGTAAGATGAATCTAATTTTATTAACAACACGATAACAAAAAAAACATAAATTAGCAAAAACATTGAACATAATTTTTTTTAACAATTTTCGAAACAAAACTCATGCGTAGCGTGGGTATTCTTCTAGTAATAATAATAAATAAACTGCACAGGTTAAATATTAACAAAGAATGCATACAAGTTGTATCTGTATCTGTACATGGAGAATTAGATATATATTTCGTTAAAGCCTGAAAGAAGACTTAAATTTCTTCTGATTTTCTTATTTTAAACAATCATGATCAGGTAAGTTCTTTACATTATCTAGACCAACCTGTTGTACTACAATTTTTGCATGCACTTTCTTATATTAATCAAAAGTGTTGTGAACTTTTTGGTTAAAGTCGTAATCGTATATTCGTAATAACATTATTGTAATCTCGAACTGTTTTGTTATACTTTTGGCTCTTGGATAGTCTCCTGAGTCGTGCTTGTACTATGATCCAATAGTAAATAATCACTTAAAAGCAACATAAACGATAAAAATATGATTAGTATGAGCCGGCTCTAAAAGTCACCAGTATTAATCCATTCTCATGATCAAACACAATTAGCAAGTATTTGAGATCATATCATAATAGATAGTACGTTTTCAATTTTTCATTACTTGTTGAATTACCAAGATTTAAAAACAAACTAATTAATTAGTTTATACACCATCAATTTTTCTAAACATATCTAATCGATACAACTTTTAATAAATGAAATAAGCTGTATGTGTTTATTGATAATTGTTATCTATAACATGGTGTATAAGTCATTCTGGCGCCGAATGATAACGCGAATTAAATACATATTTCATAAATTTTGGTTTTTTATTTTTTTAATATGTAACAGGAGCATCTTTGAAGTATATATATAGGGTTTACACGCAACACGTATATATTACCAACTTGCATTAGTCTAGTGATATTCTTATGTATTATTAGTCGAGTGAAGAGAGATCAATTTCTATAATACTTACACCAACGGTTTGGAATTGTTCAGACGTTTAGTTTGTTGAATAGTTTTAGAGTACCTTTAAGCTCAAAATCATTCGTTTATGGTATAAAAGAACACTTGTACAAATTAAGTTGGCAACGATAAACAGATAGCTATTTGAATGTGTTGGTTTGAATAGTGATCAGTACAACTGAAATCTGATTTAAACAAACAATGAGTTACTTTGGTAAATCTGATTCGGTGTTCGCTATTGGTGATCAACCGTGAGATTCTCACCAATGTTAAGCGTCGAAATTTCTATCGATGTTTCTCTTTCGTTTGCCTTCTTTTTCTTTTTAATGCAACAACAACAAAGAGAACACACACATATCACCAAGATCACTACAACCGCAGCTATCACCGGAGCTATGATTCTTCGAAATACTTTACCTACATGCATGATCAAACTCCATATATGTTAAAGACTATCAAAGGAAACATAATCAAATTCAATCAACTTATCATTTTAAGGTTCATAATATATATACCTATTAAGGTTCAAACTATATATATATATATATATATATATATATTTACATAAAACTATAAAAGCAATTTTGCTAATAAGAAATAAAGAGTATGTTCCTTTTAACTACTCTAGAATCTAGATAAACGACAAAACAATCAAACCTAGCGAATAATTATATTATCGTTCTCACCTTTTAATTTAAACGAAAAATGATTCCTCGGAGCTAGGATTTTCATTTTCGTGGTAAAAACGTTGTGGAGGAGGTGGTGGTGGTCCTGGCGGAGGTGGAGGAGGAGGTGGTGGTGGGGCTAACAAAGTGGCTTTATATGTCAACATGCAGTTGGTGGTATAAACCAACGCAAAACGTTTTCCATAACAACAACCTTCAGTCTCATTATACGCTGATTTCAAGCACCTATAGCAATCATACTGATTTAGATCGGGTGTGCACAGTATACCAATCCTATTAGGTCGTAAACTTCTCCAAGACAACTCACATGATAAGTTTCTTCTGCAAAATATGAAGAACGCGAATAGGCTTCTTGTATCAGCCGGTCTATACTATATTCCACGGTATTAATGAAATAAGATTGGTACAACATGGTATCATAAGTCGTCCATGTAACAAATGGCCCTTGATCAAGAATCGAGAAAATCTGATGGTTGGAGTACCTGAGGAAGCATTCTTCATACCATATGATAGCTTCGTTTTGGACAGCACACCATTTAAAAACGTTTTTGGATGCTCTTGAGATGCATGTTTCACATTTTGAAGACGAAATGTCTCCTCGACATAGATAAGTTCCATAAACTGTTGTGCTTGAGGAAGAACTGGAGGCGTAGCTGTAAAAACCTTTGTTGGATGATTGAGAATCAAGAACGGATATTAAAGAATCTAGATTGTATTTGTACGAACTGTTTGCCGTGTAGTTTCCTGATGTGTAGCAATAGCTAAGGAGATACGTTGGTTGTGCATTTAGGGTTTTGATGAGAAAAAGAGAGAGAGAAAGTAGATGAATTTTGATTGATGATTAGGGAGAGAGAACATCTTCTTTTGAGTAACCTTGTTGTGGTCATCAACAAAGATTCAGCTATTATTTGAATTAATTCTTCTTATATATATCCTTTTAGTAGGCATTATTTGGTTCTCATATTCTCGTTCTTTTGAAAACTATACTCTATTTTTTTCCTCTCTTGGTCAACTTTGGGCCAAGCTGTCCGAATTTAACTTTAATGATTATGATCTTGATAATGTATAAATAGGACGAGGTTCCAAACTTAAAATAATATAAAATTATATGCATGCCTATTTTATATTAAATTTTATAATAAGATATTTTTCCCCATTTTTATATTTATTTTCTTTTCAAATTTACGTAATTAGAGACAAAAAAAAATAAACAGAGTTTTTTCTATTAAAAGCTCAATATAAATTTTATTTATTTATTATCAAATATCAATTGCTTAGCTCAATCTCTCAAATTAAACATAATTATCCTTAATAATAAGTTGTACGACGTCTATGTGGGCTGCATTCTGAAGTTTCTTTCATCGCAAACTGGCCATGGGGTAAACCCTCTGAGATAGGGGGCTGCTCAATCCCATGTATGTTGACAGGGAGAGGGTGGTGAGAATGCAACTACTGTAGCTGGTGATGCCCTTCCTGATTAAATGATATATCCCTAGTCGACAACATAAGTATAATTTTTTCCCAACGTATGAATCAAACGCGCAAGAGCATTTTCTCTATGGGCTCTCACCATTTTTTTAAGAATAAAATTTTCAAATTTATGAGATGAGAGTTTTTGTTAAATTTTTTTAATTTTGCAAAATCTAATGGTAGGCTCTCTTTGTGGGGTTTTCAGAAAAAAATTAAATTATTTTTTTAATTATTTTATTTCATAAAACTGAAAATATTACAACTCATAACATATTAAACATACAATAATTTCATACATTTGAAAATAAATTTGCAAAAAAAAAAAAACGATTAGTTATTCTGTTGATTGTTGCGAAATTTTTTCCATAGATGCTCTTACCAATTACGATCCAAGCTGAATCGATTACTCTCCATCCATTGAATTTGGATCTCGGTTCGGTTCCGGTTCCAGTTCCGGTTCTTTCGGTTCTGAAGTTTATGATCCATTTGCATATTTTTCAGATATTTTTAGGTATTTTGGATATTTTTGGGTATTTTCGGATATTTTTGAGCATTTTTTGGATATTTTAAGTATTTTTTATATATTTTTCAAATATTTATTGGTATTTTGGGTATTTTAAGCTATTGGATATAAAAAGAACTAATATTTTCTAATATAAACTCATTTTTCGGGTATTTTTGGATATCCGAAATATTTCTGTTCGGTTCGGTTCCGGTTCTGGTTCTTTAGGTTCTAAAATTTAGGATCCATTTGAATATTTTAAAATTTCGGTTCGGTTCCGGTTTTTTTTTTTTTTTTCGGTTCTGGTTCGGTTCTTGTGGTTCGGTTATTTTACCCAGACCTAGCCATTGCCATCGCTGGCAAAGAAAGAGAGAGAGTCGGGTTTTTTTTTTTGACGCGTGATTGTTTTTTTTTATATTGCGTTCTTTTTTCTTTGTTTTGTCTAAAAATCGACCAATGGTATGACGCCATGTCATCGTCTCTCTTGATTTATCTCAAAAGCTCTCACAAGAAAACTGTTTCTCTTCATATAATAATTTTGATTTATTTTTAAAATTCTTTTTTCATGAGAACCATACGAGAGAACTCAATATATGAACAGTTGGAGATTCTGTAAGATTATATAAAACACTGATGTCGGCCGTCAACGAAAACAAAACGAACACTAATGTCGTGTCGAATCATATTGATAATGATTAATAAAAGAAAAAAACATTGTACAGGTCATCAAGAGCCGAATGTTATACAACCAAATTTTATACAGATAAAACAATAAAATGTTTGCATAATTTTGTAATCATTAAAAAACAATATGTAATCTCATCATGTTAATATGGATTTATGTAAATTATTATGGAGACACATACACTTTTGTTCAAGTGAAATAAACTGGACATTTCTTGTCTTTAGTCCCACTCAACAACATTCCATCCCAACCGATCTCAATATAACAGTTTGCGTACATCTTATGGCTCTTACTGTGCCATGTGTACACCTTAAAACGTATCACGGACCTTACCTCCAAACGGAACACTATCTTCCCTTGATTCCTGTCTCGTTCCATCTCCATCCAGCGTTCCTTAGTCACTGCCATTGCGGGTCGACCTAAGGCTCCGTCGACCCAGCTCGTGTTCTTTGGGTCTTGGTAAAACGGGTTAGTGAGTTTAGTCGACCCGATCCGTTTCTCTTTGTAGTAAACGGATCCTTCCATGGAATCGTAGTAAATGCCAACGTTTTGGTTTGGGTTATGAGCCGTTATCTTGAAGCTTATATGTGATGTCTCGAACCCGTCAGGCCTGGATAGACCCGAGATAGAGAACCCGCGGATATGGACGCGTGGTCGGTGTGGTCGTAGACTGATCCATAAGATGAAAGTGATAATGCCTAAACATAGTAAAAGAGATAAGAAAATGGCACATATGAGTTTAGAGACTCTTGTTGTGAGGCTTTCTTTGACCCGATGAACGATGTTGTTCGCCGACTGGTGACGGGATATAGGCCGGGTTGATGGGTTCGATCGAACCGGTAACGAATCGACCTTGTTGTGCATGTTTTTTTTGGATGGATTTAGGGTTAGTGGGCCATGGGAAGTAAACTGATGGATTGTGAGGTTTATGTAGCAATTTAAAAAAAAAACAAAACATTGGTGGTAGTTAAGAAGAAAGCAAAAGATACCTTGGAAAATATTATGGGTATTACACTTTGAGAAGAAAAGAATTGACAACTAAGTATCTAAATATTTAACTAAAAAGGTAGATTAAAACTAAGTAGCTAAAAGTGCATTTAATATGATGGGTCTAATGGTTATTTTCATTCCTTTTTAATATTACCATGTCTATTAATATAATCATATGGTACTACTAGCTATAGTTCTAAATTGATTCAAGTTGTTTCTATCAGCTATGTGAATCAAAATATATGATTTAAGTTGGTATATTTACATGTAATTTTCTTCTCTAAAATTTGATTAATATAATTGAGAAGATTTGAGGTTTCTTGTTGGAGGGACATACTCCTGCAAAGTGTCCATATGTTAAGAGTTATAGTCAGCTTGCTTTGCTAACATGTGATGTGAATCATGTTGGAATATTGAGAGAAAGAAGAAAAACAATGCAAGAGACATTTGTCTCTTCTCTTGTAAAGAAGACAAGAACAAAAATAACTCTTTATTGAATCTGAAACTTGTTGTTTTTTACTCGACAAGACATACACACTTATATACATGTTTACATAACTACTCCACGTAACCGTTGGTAACAGTTGTAACTTCACCGACAAGTTACGTCTCTTACTCACACCCGTTCGTGGTAAGTCATATGTAACACATTACATCCGTTGACTTTACATACAAACTAACACATATGATATTAGAAGATTTAATCATGGACTCAATTCTAACAAATCAGTGTTTTAGAAGCATTTGATATTATAAAAGAAAAAAGAAAAAGGGAAAAAATCAAAAACGTTGTGTAATAAGATAAATATGGCCCATCTAAGATTGCTTAAACCTCTTACCAAAATCTTTGTTCAATCGATTTTGTTGCGAAGAATCTATATATACATTTTTGGATGACTTTTAGCAAATAAATCCTGGAGTTGGAATGTATTTACAATGGAATGCCACTGGATTTAATTCTTAAGATTTGGAAAATTAAATAAAAGATATGAAAAAAAGATTTTGGCTCCAAAGATCTTGCTTAAATATGATGTTTCCTTTTTTTGTTAACGATTTTAAAGCAAGTTTTGTTATATTTCTGTTTGTTTTCTTAATTAGTTAATTTACACTAATTGTATTTGATTAATTTTTTTTTGGTCGTAACTATGATTCATAATCAACACTAAACTTAGATTTTTAGTTGGTTTTGATTATAACTATAGTAAGCAACATCTATATATTATTACTTTATTATAATAAAAACATTACAACTATATGTTTTTTAAAGCAGACTTATAAATTGACTCGAATTGTATATGTTTTTAAATAAAAATATAATTAAAAAGAAATATAACAAAATGATGTTTAATTTCATGGGACGGGTTATATGGTGGGACGGGTTTGGGTCGATATTAATACGGGACGGTATACTACAGGTGAAATCCTAGGATTAACAATCAAATACAGTTATATAATCTTAAACACTAAATAAAATAAATAATATTAACAAAAAAATACAACTTAAATTTTAAAAATTATTGTTATAAAAAATCGACCCGAAGTATCGCGGGGTAATATATATAATATATACATATGTAAGTATATTTAACCAAACAAAACAATAGGTTATATCTATAGATAATTTTCAAACTTTGGTTTAAAGTATAGCCCCCGCGGTGTACCGCGGGTTAAAATCTAGTTGTTGACACATAAAAGTCCCAACACCTTAAAAATAAAAGTAAAATCAAATCTATATATACATTTTTGGATGACTTTTAGCAAATAAATCCTGGAGTTGGAATGTATTTACAATGGAATGCCACTGGATTTAATTCTTAAGATTTGGAAAATTAAATAAAAGATATGAAAAAAAGATTTTGGCTCCAAAGATCTTGCTTAAATATGATGTTTCCTTTTTTTGTTAACGATTTTAAAGCAAGTTTTGTTATATTTCTGTTTGTTTTCTTAATTAGTTAATTTACACTAATTGTATTTGATTAATTTTTTTTTGGTTGTAACTATGATTCATAATCAACACTAAACTTAGATTTTTAGTTGGTTTTGATTATAACTATAGTAAGCAACATCTATATATTATTACTTTATTATAATAAAAACATTACAACTATATGTTTTTTAAAGCAGACTTATAAATTGACTCGAATTGTATATGTTTTTAAATAAAAATATTATTAAAAAGAAATATAACAAAATGATGTTTAATTTCATGGG